GGGGCCTCCTGATTAAGCAGGGGATTCACGATCCAGCAAAGGGGCCTCCTTACCCCAAGACAGCACCCTCCTGTTCCATCACTAGGTTTTGTGATGCACAGAGGGTTCTCTGTATCCAGAACAGGATCAATCCGATTCACAAAGAGGGCTTCCAAAGGCGATAGAGGCTTCGGCGGCAGCTGAAAGCAAGCATCGTCCGGGGACAGGTCATCGTGATACGAAGCAGCGGCTTCCTTAGGCATGAGAGCGGTCTCCTGGTCTAGAGTAGGGCCTCCTGTGATGTTAAAGGTGTCTGCTAACTCCGGTCAGGGGCCTCTTAGCTCATACGAGGCCTCCCGAGCCAGCAAGGGGTCTCTTTGAAACAGAAGAGCGCCGTTGATCCCGAATATGGGTCTTCATGAATGTTAACGGTTTTCTGAGCCTGATTTTGAACCAGTTATAGGGGGTCCCCTTCGCCCGAGTTTCACATGCTATGTGAAGTTACCCATCATTCAATTCAAGGAAAAGGATCCTCACAAAACTTTGAGGCGGATAAAACAGTCTGCCCCTCTGACTCCCTCCTGATGCGCCGCACCTGTACTTCCCCTTCCCTGCCCCCAAATGGAAACCGCCAAGGGTACGCTGTTCAAAACCTTAATATCTCGTCACGATAATGTTGCACAACCAGTCGATGATCTATGAAAATTATGCACCGTGGCGCACTTGCAGAAAAAAAATGCGCGCGACATGTGCATGCCGTCTGTGCCCTGGGGCGAGTCTGTCACGAGGTGGTAGCACTGCTAGACATTACGGTTGCTAGCGTGCCTTCGTGCCTTCGAGTGGCGGCGAAGCCACCACGGACTTTGATACTGTCGCAGCCCCGGGCTCCCGTTTCGGCCAAGCTCCGTCCGCCTTCCTGCGCACAGTACGGGACGTGACCGGTGACGGTACGTGACGAATATCCTTTACCATTTAACAAGGCTGGTCTGTCGGCTGACATGGTTGCGTTTCGGATTGCGAACAATATAGCTGGGCCCGTTCGACGTAGCAACAGCATCACGACAGTGATTGCATTGCTTGTGTACTATGTGTGAGAGCGCCGATAATTTAGTACGCTGACGCTTCAAACATCAGCATATGGGGGGCCAATGTGTCAAGGAATTAAAATGTTTTAGTGGCAAATTCAAGTAGAAATCCTCCCAAAACATTTTTGCAGGGAGAACTCGGTTGGAGATTCAGCACTACTTTGTCAAATAAGTGTGCATGTCTATATGGTATATGTGCAAGCTTTAGCACATCAATTTTTAGATGTCAGGTGCAGTGGATCAATTTTAGTTGCGTGTTTGGTCCATGTGGTGTGTTGTCTGGAATACACAAAATGGATGTTGTACAGTTGTTGAAGGTTTCCCCTGTTAATTGTGTGGTGAAGTAGATAAACTTCCAATGCTGTTCATGTCCATCATCCTCTATAGACTATGCAATGCTGTGCTCCCAAACTACTTATAGTATCATTAGGGGATGCCTGAAGCAGTGGAGATGAACTTAATCATCACCTTGTCAGCCAATCAATGATCAACTCAGTCTCATAGCAATTAGTTGAACCTAATGTAGCAATATAACTATTGTATTTCTAATGGATACAAAATAGTCAGACACAAATGTTTTGGTGAAAGGGATAAGATGATATAATTATGTTATTTCTAAGACAGTGGTCTTGTCTGGTCTAAAAAAGTTGACTGTTGAAAAGGTATAGTCTGGTTGGATATTGTTGATTTTAGTAACAGTAAATCTTGAGTATATGTGTCACTTCAGTGACATTCATGGATATCACATGTCAGCTAAAAACTCACCTTGCTGCATGCATTTAATTAATCAAGTCTTATTTGTACCTGGTAACTAGTTGACTGGTACCTTTTGAATAAAGTTGTAGCCTACACCCATAGAGCTCTGAAATGAACAAAGATTTGATGTTGATTCATAGATGTAGCAGAGGTGAGGGCTATTGGGCTCCCTACCCCCCAATCCCCCACCCCACCCACCCCACCAGTCAGGAGTTTTTTTTTCTAGATACTTGGCATCACCTCAGTAACTTAGTAAAAATTTGCAGGATTTGAGAGAAAATTGGCACTTGCCCCTGCCTCACACTTACAAAAATGTTGGATGGATCCATCCATCAGCCACATGATGGAACATGGTTTTGGACAGAGTACTCCCCAAAACTGAACTATTCTTTGGTAATCCATGATCATCAGAATATGATGTCTTAAGCTATCATGAGACATACTGAGATATACATATAATGGGATGTACTGACAGAGTGTATACATTTACTGCAAAATACCCTTGAGCTTGCTTTGGTACCCATAGAGCAATCAGTATGGTCAAGCAGATTTAGAGAAGTCATAGACAGGTGAAGTAGTCCACAAGGCATCACTTTTCAGTAGAATTCCATTAGATAATACCAAATATTTTCCATGTTGTCATGCTGACCATGCTTACCCAGGGTAGTCTTGGTCCTCTGGGTGCTCACATCTTGTTGCTGACCAGGTGCTGTCTCCGCCTCCCAGGCGTGGAGATGAGTGCCTCCATGAACATTCTGCTGTACACTGTGCGCAAGAAGTTCTCGTCAGTGCAGCACGTGTCGACCGACACAGTGTACTCGTGGCTGTACCCGCGGCCGCGGCCCGACCTGCTGCTGCTGGACACGCGCGCCGCGGCCGAGTTCGGTATCAGTCGGCTGCCGCACGCCGTGCACGTGGACCCGGACAGCGACGAGCCGACGCTGCGGCGCACCGTGGCCGCCCTGCTGCCGGCCGGCGTCGACAAAACTACCATCGCCTGTTACTGCTCCGTAGGGTACCGCTCGGCCACGGTCGCCACGCGGCTCAACGGTCTGCGCGCCGCCAGCCCCGAGCTGCCCAACTTCGAGGCGGTCAACATCGAGGGCTCCATCTTCAAGTGGGCCAACGAGGGCAAGCCGCTAGTGGACGCCGCTGGCGAGCCCACGCGCTCCGTGCACCCGTACAACTCCGTGTTCGGGCGCCTGCTGAAAGCCGAGCTGTGGCAGTTCCCTCAGCAGCACTAGAGACGATGCTATGCGTCCTCCTTCTTCTGCAGGTGAGCCGGCGGCGGCGCGGTATCCGCCGATTGCCAGAGCGTCTGCCTCTCTCCGGCTCGCGTGCGGCATCGGCAACGCTGCGACGCAACATTTCACCGCTAGCCGCCTGGGTGTCCTGGTAATGCGGCCGTCGTACATCGCGCGATGCACGTTCCACGTTGTTCACGTTTCGCTGGTGGTTGACGCGCTGCCGGTGGTCCGTTTGCAGTGTGCGTGTGCCGTGTGGGGTGACTACCTGATCCAGAGCATCCGGGGTGAAGTGGAGGCCGGCAACTACACCTACTACAAGCTGCAGTGGGACGGGCCGGTTACTGTCATTTTGGAGACGCTGTGAGTAGCCCCGCCAGCCAGTTGGACTATTAATATGAAGAAATTAGAGGTAGCATTTGGTGCTGGATGGAAGCGAGCTCTGGTGTTTTAAGGGCACGATCCCATTTTACAACTTGACGGGGCTCTGGTGGCTACTGCCGTGAGGAATGGGGTCTAGGACACGGCTATTGTAAGTTGCATGTCTGAGATGGTCCTCATCAATAAGCTGTCGTGACACAGCTTAGGCACGAGGACATGGTCACATGAAGTAGAAAGCTTCTCGATGTCTTATCCTTCCAACTGAAAGGCATGCACTTCACACACGGATTGTCAGTCGACTAGCGGTTGGTCAACAATGTTCGCGCGACGCGTTGTGGACGCCGCTGAGAGCAGGCCGGTGTGTCCAGCTGTGTGTGGCCAGCAGGCAGCGATGTTGCCGCGCGGTCGGTGCGCCGCACGAGGGCCGCCCCAGCAAGCGGCAGCCGTGCTGACTGACGGCACGCTCGCCCACAGGCGTGGCGACGCCGACCTGTACGTGTCCGAGACGCACCTGAAGCCCAGCTTCGAGCCGGACCAGTTCGACTTCAGCTCGGCCACCTGCGGACTCGACTCGGTGGACATCCCCAGGGGGTGAGTACGCGGGCCCGCGCGCCGTGTGACAACTGGCGGTATGACGATCGAGGTTCTCAGCAGGTCAGCAGATCAGTCGCGCTATGCACAGCCGTATGTGGGGCAAAACCAGCCTAAACGGGACCGTAGTTTCCTTGTCCGCAGTGCATGCTTGCACTTGATACAAGCAAGAGAGGTCTCCAGCGCCGGTTTTGGCCATTATGAGTTCGGAACTCTTGTGCTGATATCACCGCTGTTATAGATATCATTTAAATGTACTAGCGATTGCCAAAATGACGTCATAGACCAAACGTTGGTTATATTGTCGAAACTCATTTAGTATCGACAATTTCACCAATATTTACATGCTGACATTTGAGCTACACTCGAAGATAGTCAGCCAAGCAGGTCTACATCACGCCCGACGCCGTGCTGACGGAGCCGGCCTGTGTTCGGCTATTGGTCGGCGCCCTGACGCCGGTGTGCCGCCGCCGCCAGGTGTCCCCGTCCGCTGGGCGTCTCGGTGTACGGTCACCCGTCGGCGACGCTCTCCTCGTACGAGCTGCGCCTGGTGTTCAGGCACCCGGACTACCTGGACCAGTTCACGCTTCGCGAGCACAACGACACTGAGGACGAGCTGCTGCGGGCGCTGCGGGACCGCACTGGCCACTCCGAGGTCAGCCGCGCGCCTCGATGGCACAGGGTCCGTCAAAGGGAGGGGGCGGCACTGCGGGATCGCACTGGCCACTCCGAGGTCAGCCGCGCGCCTCGATGGCACAGGGTCCGTCAAGGGGGGGGGGGGAGGTGCTGCGGGACCGCGCTGGCCACTCTGAGGTCAGCCGCGCGCCTCGATGGCACAGGGTCCGTCAAGAGGGGGGGGGGGAGGGGGGGGGGGGCGCTGCGGGACTGCGCTGGCCACTCCGAGGTCAGCCGCGGGCCTCTTTGGCACAGGGTCCGTCATGGAGTGTACGGGGTCAGGGATATGTGGATGTCGGTGAAGTAACAGACGGTCTAACATGCATCTGGTATTCGCCCCGTATTTTCTTTGTGTTGTTGGCAGTGCACGCCCATAGAGTTGTAACCTATTTTTCCGGTGTTTCAGACGCACGAGGAGTTTCGTCTGCTGGATTTGATATGGACTTTCGTGGAGGTGTTTTTGGAAGTGCTGCTGTTATAGATATCACTATTCGTACTAACAAAAGGGTGCGATTTGCTACTTAGGATCACGTGACCGCGCAACAGCCTGGCTAAAGCTGACTGGTGGTGCTAACACACTGGCGATGTTGTAAGAAATATATTTTAACAATCTAGCCAAGTGACAACGTAGACACGATGTCCGAGAGCGTAACGCCTCCCAGCGAAGCGGCACCCGCCGCGGAGGAGGGAACGGAGAAGCCGTCCTCCCAGGCCTCCCAACCGGAGCCGTCAATCCAGCGGCCGGAGCTGGAGGTGAAGCCGGCTCTGCTGCGCCGCCTGGAGACGGTGACCAAGGGCGCCATGCTCGAGTACGAGACGCAGATGCTGCTGGACCTCCTGCACGAGGACGGCTTGCTGGTCACGGCCAAAGGGCTCGGCCTGGAGCGGCTGTTCGCGGCGCTGGTGCGCGTGCTGTGCGACCCGGCGCAGCTGGTGCTGGTGCTGGGCACCAGCCGCGCCGAGGAGGAGCACGTGACGTCTCAGCTGGAGGCCGACGGCTGCAGCCCGCTGCCGCGCGCCGTCACGGCGGACACGTCCGTCACAGACAGGTACAGAGCCGCCAGCCGGTGCGGCGCGGTGCGGCCGTCACGGCGGCGGACGTGCGGGACATTACGCCGGTGCCGCCGGCGTGGGACGCACAGGCGTGGTGGTGACGCAAGTGCAGCGCGGGGTACCGTCCACACGGCGGAGAGGAGCACATGCGGGAAAGCACACAGGGGAAGCGCACATTAGTGGGATCTGAGAGTGCCAGCAGTGAGGCTCGTTGTCGACGCGAGGTTTGGTGCGGTGCTGCCAGCGCAGAGTACGCTGATAGCGTTTCGCACATAGTTCATCGTGGTGCCGCCTGGATGACGAAGTTTTACGACGCGTATAGAGAACACAGTGGTACTTTCACACATCACATTACACGGTCTAGTATCCTTGAGAATTCAGACAGAAAGGCTTTGGTTTATGGTTTCAGGGGTGTGGGCGCTACTGTGAAATGCGCAACCGGGAAAGGAAAAGATTACCCAGGTTGTTGAACGTAGTGCCAGTCTGTCACGGAGAAAGGCGCTCGTGATATGCCACTCCGTGCATGCCACATCTAACGATTGTAGAGGGAGCCACGTTGGTGCCGCATTGACACCAATATGGGATATTCCAGGGGATGGTCATGGGGTATTCAACGGTCGGCATCTGCCGGTGCAGAGACATCGGCAAGTGCCGTACATCAAGCCGAAGCCAGCTATGTATGCTCATTACTACAGTCGTATTTTCCTGCCAAAGAACCTCGGTTAAACATTTCTCGCATCCTGTTCAGGGAAGGTCTCGAAGAGCAATGTAGGAGCCTCCGTGGCACGCCGGGCGCACTGAACGCACGTGGCTGAGGGCGTCCCCACGTTAGCCAGTATGGTTTTCCTGGTGCGGCCCCACCCGGCCGTGTGGGGCCGCCTCTGGGCGCGTGACCTCCTCCATGTGGTGTCGCCTCTGGGCGCGAAGCCGCCGCCGCGTGGTGCCGCCTCTGGGCGCGTGACCTCCGCCGTGTGGTGCCGTCTCTGGGCGCGAAGCCGCCGCCTCTGGGCGCGAAGCCGCCGCCTCTGGGCGCGTGACCTCCGCCGTGTGGTGCCGCCTCTGGGTGCGAAGCCGCCGCCGTGTGGTGCCGCCTCTGGCGCGGACATCCGCTGTGTGGTGCGCCTCTGGGCGAGTAGCCGCTGCCGTGTCGCGCATCCGTTCGTCCTCGGCGCGTGCCGCCCGCTAAAGCAGTCGCTCTGGCCTGGCCGGCAGGCAGCAGGTGTACCTGCAGGGCGGCGTGCTGTTCGTCACGTCCCGGATCTTGGTGGTGGACCTGCTGACAGAGCGGTGCCCCGCCGACCTGGTCACCGGCGTGCTCGTCTACCGCGCCCATGGCGTTGTCGAGTCCGCCCAGGAGGCCTTCATACTGCGACTCTACCGCCAGAAGAACAAGGTGATGCGGTCGTCACGAGGGTGGCGCTGCTGAAGGCGTCTGGAGAGTGTGGTGCGTTGTTTGGCCCGGCGCACGGGCGGATGTGCTCCACATGCCTCCTGACTGTGTGTGTTATGTCAAACTGGCTGCCCGTGTATGGGGTCAAGCGATGTTTTGTCTCCGTTGTCTGTGGACCGGGCGAGCACTTGGTGAGAGGCTGGGTGTACCACTGACCTGATCTTGCACTGGTGGCTGACGGCAGTTAGCGTGGCAAAAAACTCAGAAAGAGGGAGGGAGTCATCTGTGGCGACTCTGCACTCGATCCGGTTACCACTCAGAGAGAGGGAGGGAGTCATGTGTGACGACTCGGCCCTCAATCCGGCTACCACGGAGCTCTCAGGACGCCCTCCGGTCGCCATCACGGGCTGTGACCTTTGTGAATCTGACGTTACGTGCTCCCTCGGCTTCGATTTCAAACATTGGCGTCATGGCGTCGCACGTTGGCGGCCGACCCGCTGGCGGTCCCGCTGGCAAGAGAGCGACGAGAAGACATGGCAGAGATTAAGCCAACGACAAGAGCTTTCTGTCCAATAGACTTCTGTCCAAACGGTGCTGAATTTCGCACCAGGGTCGCTTTGCCCCTTCATTCCAAGCCTCGCCCATCCCGGCTGGGCTAAGCTCATGCTTCCGTCGCCTTTCAGACTGGCTTCATCAAGGCCTTCTCTAGTTCGCCGCTGTCCTTCACATCCGGCTTCTGCCAGGTCCAGCGGGTCATGCGCAACCTGTTCGTGCGCAACCTGTACCTGTGGCCGCGCTTCCACCTGCAAGTCAACCAGGCGCTGAAGCAGTGCACGGTATGTACAGGTCTGCCCGGGGCACCGACCTCTCTCGACCAGGGTCGGGCTCCGAACTTGCCGTCGTGACGTGGCTCTAGTGCTTGTCGTGGATGATGATGAAGACTATTTGGGGCAGTGTGAAAGGCTGGGCGAGAGTATCTCGGGCCGGTCGCAAATATTGTGACGTAATCCCGGCCACGGGTGGCCTCGATCTCAACTGATACGGATGCCTGGTGTTGGTGAAGGCCTGATGGTGCCAGAATGGCTGCGGATGTGGAATGTTTGGCGAATGCCGGTTTTATGATAATGTGTGGAATTCGAACGGTATTTTTATCGCTCATGGATGGTTATTTTATTTTTGATGCAAGTCGTACCCGCTTCCGTAAATTTATTTACGCCACGGAGCTCAGCATTTGCCACTTTGCCTCCCCTTGCGGACCGGGGACTAGCGCCTGACCGCGTATTATTTGAACTCGGGCATTCAGGGCTGATCTGACTGAGTAGACTTGCCCGACATACAAAGCCACAGCTGCTGACCAGTGTGGGACGCCGCCGCAGCCGGATGTGGTGGAGATCCGGGTGAAGATGACGCCGCTGATGACGTCCATCCAGTCGGCGCTGCTTGACCTCATCAACATCACTGTGAAGGAGTTCAAACGGCTGAACGCGTCGGTGGGTTCCGCAGGCGGGCCGGCAGCCGGTCGGTGCTGTGGCTGGCAGAGGCGAAGCGCACGTCTTTGCAGACTGTGTGCTCAGACCAGCCGCCAGTGTATGCGTCACAGTCCCAATTTTCCCCTGGATATTGCTGGGCTCGAACCCGGGTCTTCTTTATTGCGAGTCCGGCGCTCTACCAACCGAGCGTGTCCTTCCCAGTTAGCTCGCAAAATGCCTGGAAACGGACAGCTCCATGGCTTACTGCGATAACTCAGTACATCTACACACAACTGTCTGCTGTAACGGTTGTCGGTTGCCTTACTGTATTATACCGTACTGCGACAGCTGTTCGCAGAATGGTATAATCACGGTGTTTATCTAAGTAGAGGTGACATTGTGGTGATGCTGCAACTTTGCAGAAACAAACCGCTTGCCTCAACACCTTTAGTACAAATTTGTCTGGTAAATATTTGATATTAGGCCATATACTTCCTTGTACTGTTTGTGTTACATCTTGACACTGAACACAGAATTAATATTAGATCTAGCCCGAGGCACCGGCGGGTGGCCGAGTGACCGTGGCGTCTGCTGCGCAGCTGGACTGGGACACGATGACGGTGGAGACGGTCATCTCGCGCGCCTTCCACAAGATCTCGCGGCTGCGCCTGGACCCCGTCTGGAACCAGCTGAGCGCGCGCACCCGCCAGCTGGTGGCCGACCTGCGCACGCTGCGCGCGCTGCTGCTGGCGCTGCCGCAGCTCGACTGCTGCAGCTACTACCAGCTGGTGGCGGCGCAGCAGACGGCCGAGCGGGCGCTCAACTCGGGCTGGGCCATCCTGGACGCGGCCGAGACCGTGTTCGTGGACGCCAAGCAGCGCGTGTTCGGCGACGCGCAGCCGGCGCCCAAGCGCGCGCGCGGCGACGGCGGCCGACCGCAGGGTGAGGCGCGCGCGCGGGGCCGAGAGCGCCGGCGGGCGGAGCGAGGTCCTGACCGGGCGGGCCGGGTGGTGGTGGGCGAGCCGGCGGTCTGTACTGTGCCCGGGCTGGACTGCGGCTGACGGTGGCCCTGGAGCGGTCAAACGGGCCTGGGTCAGGACAACGTGACGACCCGCGTCGGGCTGACTGGCCGTGGATGTGTGGGCGCGCTGGGCAGCCCGCTGGCTGGCAGGCGGCCGAGGGTACGCGTAGGGAGTGCGCCCCTAGTCACAGACCCCGGCCCTGCACGGTCGCGTAGGCGGCGGTTTGCCGCCGCCGGCCGCGTGTGCTTACGGTCCTACCCGCCCCCCCCCCCCCCCCCCCCCAGTGCTGCACATGGAGGTGCCTCCCAAGTGGTCGGCACTCTCCGAGGTGCTGGCGGAGATCCGGGCCGAGGTGACCGCGGCGGCAGCCGACGCCGACCCGCTCTTGGCCGACAAGGTGCTGATCGTGGCCGCCGACCTGGTCGCATGTCGCCGCATCAAGGAGGTACGCTGGCAGCCGGCTGGCGTCGGTCCGGGCGGCGCGCGCGGCGCCGCCGTGCTCCCTCCCGGCGCGCGCGGGGATGGGCCGCCGCTGGTGTGACATTAACATAGTAAAGACACCATCAGTTTTCGTTTAGTTTAAGATACGATTAGTTTTCTTTTAGTATGGGACACAATCAGTTTTCTTTTGTGGTCGTAATTTTCTTGAATTTGCTTCGCAATGTTTGGCCGTGGGGAACGAGTCAAACTGTCTCATCCATGTGACGTGTATGGGATTTTATCACTAAATTCGATACGATGTTGCTTAAGTCAAAATTGGCCAATCGTCGTTTCGAAATCACGTGTTCAGCATTCACTCTTTGACCGCATTCGAGCGTGATTCCTTCCTGGGCGTGACCCGTCGCGTGTGAACTATTCCCAGGTTCTGACGTTGGGGGCGCAGGCGGCCCTGTGGCGCCGCTTCCAGCAGCAGCTGGCGTCGAAGTTCGGCGAGGATGCCTTCGTGCCGAGCTCGGCCGCGGAGGAGCCGGCGGCGGCCGACGGCGCCCGACAGCCGGCCGAGCCGGCCCCGGCCGACGCCGAGCAGACGGTGAGGCTCGGCCGTCGCTGCGGCGCGGCTGGAGGGAGGGCGGCTCGTGGCAAAGGTGGCGCATCGACACCTCTGTGTCGCGTCGTCGCCGACACCCCCGGGCTGTCGATGTTCTCATGAACCTCTCTGTGTTGTTCGTGCCCTTCCCAGCACATCCGCGTATTTGCCTTCTCGGCACCCTACCGCGCTCCATGTTGTCGCAGTTATTCGTATATTTCGAGGTAGAGGTGAAACAATCTGTTTTTTCTTCACTGTCCAAAGAAATCACGTTTTTTGTTGCGTAGTGGCGAGAAAAACACTTCATCTCTTTCATGCCGGGTTGATCCCCCAAACGAACCTTGTACTGTTCCCCGCGTCATGCTGTCACTGACCCCACCGGCCTTGGCCGTGTGTTCAGCGGAAGGGGGACGGCGACGCTGACGAGCTGCTGGTGACCATGCCGTCCTCGCCGCTGCTGCTGCTGCTGCCGGCCCGGGAGGCGTCCGACCCGTTCCAGCTGCAGCGCTCGCTCCAGCAGTGCCGGCCGCGATATGTCGTCCTGTACGACCTGGACGTGGCTGTGGTCCGCACGCTGGAGGTAAGTGCGGGCAGAGGCGGGCCTGGTGCGGCCAGGCGGGCTCAGAGGGCCGGGTACCGTATCGTCCTGACGGCTGCGGCCAGGCGAGCTCAGAGGGCCGGGGACCGTACCGTCCTGACGGCTGCGGCCAGGCGAGCTCAGAGGGCCGGGTACCGTATCGTCCTGACGGCTGCGGCCAGGCGAGCTCAGAGGGCCGGGTACCGTATCGTCCTGACGGCTGCGGCCAGGCGAGCTCAGAGGGCCGGGTACCGTATCGTCCTGACGGCTGCGGCCAGGCGAGCTCAGAGGGCCGGGGACCGTACCGTCCTGACGGCTGCGGCCAGGCGAGCTCAGAGGGCCGGGTACCGTATCGTCCTGACGGCTGCGGCCAGGCGAGCTCAGAGGGCCGGGTACCGTATCGTCCTGACGGCTGCGGCCAGGCGAGCTCAGAGGGCCGGGTACCGTATCGTCCTGACGGCTGCGGCCAGGCGGGCTCAGAGGGCCGGGGACCGTGCCGTCCTGCCGGCTACGGACGGTCTTGTTTGGCCGTGGTTTGTAGCTGCGTAGGCGCTGGCTCTCCCTGCTGGTGCCCTTGTGACCGCTCGTGGACTCCAGCTGTCGACACGTGTGCGGCGTGATCTCTCTGTGCCCTTGTGACCCGGCAGCGCGGGCGCCGTGTGTGTCGCCGCATCACGTGATGCCTCCGACGGCAGGTGCACCAGGCGGCCACGCCGGAGCGGCCGATGAGGGTGTACTCGCTGATGTTCGGCGGCACTACCGAAGAGCAGGCCTACCTGACGGCACTGCGCACCGAGAAACAGGCGTTCGAGTACCTGATCGGCGAGAAGTCGTCCATGGTGGTGCCCGAGGAGCGCGAGGGCCGCGACGAGGCCAACGCGGACCTGGAGCGCGGCGCGCCGGCCGAGGAGGAGGCGGCGGCGGCCGCCGGCTCGCGCCAGGGCGGCGTCCGCCCGCCGCCGGCCGAACCGCCGCGCGTCATCGTCGACATGCGCGAGTTCCGCTCCGAGCTGCCGGCGCTGCTGCACCGGCGCGGCGTCGACATCGTGCCGGCCACCATCGAGGTGGGCGACTACATCATCACGCCGGACGTGTGCGTCGAGCGCAAGTCCATCAGCGACCTGATCGGCTCGCTGATGTCGGGCCGACTGTACGGCCAGGCGCTGGCCATGGGCCGTCACTACCGCCGACCCGTCCTGCTCATCGAGTTTGACCAGGACAAGCCGTTCACGCTACAGGTGACAGCGCCGTCGGGCGCTCGCCGTCCGGCCGGGCTGGATGGGCCGGAGAGGGCGGTGACGTCGTGCAGTGGTTGATGTTGGCGATGTTTCTCAAGCGCTTGCGGTTGTGAAGTCACACGGCAGCGATGTTTGCAGGGATGGTCTGAATTGCAGCATTTGTTTTCTGCTGCTTTCTGCTGATGTTTTGCGAATGTGGCTGGAATTACGTCATTGCTTATCTGCCATTTTCTGTTCATGATTGGCGGAAAAGGTGGAATGGCTTCGCAACAGTTGCCGAACGCTATTCAGATGGTGCGGCTGGATGTGGCCGGGAGTGGCAAACTGCAATGCCATGGGAATACCTTCCTATCTTTGACCGTGTCTGACGGTTGTTTTAGCGTGAAGCACTTGACCAGCGCAGCGCCAGCGGATGGTGACGTCCGTGCTCGCTCCTGCAGGGCAAGTACTACCTGTCGAGCGACATGTCGTCGGCGCAGGTGGTCAGCCGGCTGCAACTGCTGACGCTGCACTTCCCCCGGCTGCGGCTCATGTGGTGTCCCTCGCCGTACGCGTCTGCCGAGCTGCTGCACCAGCTGAAAGTCGGCGAGCCGGAGCCCAGCCTGGCCGAGGCGCGCGCCGCCACCGCCGACCGCGCCGACACGCTGGCCGAGGATCGCGTCAACCCGCAGGTACTGCCTGCTGCCGCGCTGTGCTGCGTCGTGCTGCGCTGTGCGAGGGCCGCGCTGTGCCATGCTGCCTGCTGTCGCGTTGTGCTGCTGCTGCTGCGGCGGTGTGCGGTCGTCCCAGGTGCCGGCGGAGCAGTCGACATACGGGTGCTGCTGGCGACAATGGTCGTGTCTGTATGACAGGGCAGTAGTTAGCGGCGCTCCCAGCGCCTCACCTAGCCTGTTGTAGCACGTCCGGTGACGTTTGTTGGCGACTGATCATAGCCGTCGCCGGCGAGTTGTGCAGGCTGTCCCAGCGCCGCAATGGCCATTGGCCCGCTTCATTTCAGATTCGGGACTTCATCAGCAAGCTTCCAGGCATAAGGCCGAAGACTCTATATGCCTTGCTCAACAAGATAAATTCGCTCATGGACCTGATTCAGATGACCAAGGTACGGTAGTTACTCGAGCCATTTGTCGCTCCCAGACACGGAAAGATCTGCAGAGTCGTTTTCTGACTTGAGTGCACTCCATGTAGTTCACAGCCTTAATTAACTCGACTGATATTATTTCCGCTAGGTAAACAAAGGACACGGAATGTGACGCGAGGAATGGATGTCACGGGGTTCGTGTGTTGGCTTTGTTTTTGAATTATTCCAAACGTTTTGATTCAGTGGGTTTCTGAGATCAGATTTCAGGCTAAGCAATTTTTGTTGTGTGAGGTCCCCACCGAAGTCTGGTGGTAGTACAACCGCCCTACGGCGTACTTTTCTGTCTAACCCGTAGGGTTCACCTGTTTTTGCAGAGCTGGGAACCGAATTACATCATGTAAATTTAGACGAAGCCGGCACCGAAAGGTTGTTTAATTATCTTTTATCAATCCATTGACCGCTCTTTGTCTGGAGAAGTGGACTCTCGCATTGCACCTGGTCAAAGTTTTCATTCACGGTCCGCCATGAATGTTTCCGACTTCCGGCGCATGCTCAATGGTCTCAATAGCTCAATCGGCAGCGTACCGGATCCGTAATCGAAAGGCGGTGGATTGGAAGCCGGGACGCTCTAGGGTTTCCCTACCAGTTTCCTACGGAATATACCAAATGTTTGCTAGCAGCCAAGTGCGGTTGGTGTTAAGCAGTATACGATTCCTTGAGAGTTTCTTGCAAAAATTTGGGACATGGCATTTAGTTAAATTTTCAATGCATTCACTATGGCTCTGAGTGTGTGTTCGAAGCTAGTTCAGCCAAGCAGTGGTGCGGTTCTGGAATTTTCTCCCAGTTCCCTATAGAATATGCTGAATTATTTACTTACAGCCAACACATGCTGTTATTGTTATGCAGTGTACATTGTCTTGAGTTTCTTACAGCAAGTTCGGGGCTTAACATTCATTAAGATTGTAAATACATTTGCTATCGTAGTAACTGCGCTGCACCACCCTCAGTCACCGGCGCCAAATATTTAGTGTAAACAAAAACTTTGCTTGCATTGCACATCTGGTGTATTTATATTGCGGGTCATGCACTGAGCTTCGTTCTACGTGGCATCTATGATCCTGTGTTACGGGAGCCCTTGACCCCACCACCCTGTCGTAAGCATTCAGTTCAACGGTGTAACTTTGTGACGAAAGGTTAACGTGCGGCAATGCGCGGCACGGTCTGCCTTGCCCTCTGACCTCAGTTGAAAGCAATAAAAACTGGCGTAAAGACAAGCGAAAAGCCATCGTGGGGTTACATGCCATTTGGAGAGTTCTGCGGTCCTCACACGTCTCCCTGTCGCCTCTGTCTCCAGCTCAGCCAAAACGGGCCGACGGTGGACGCTGTCGTGCGCACGCGGCGGGTGAGGCTGGGGGTGGGGGTATTCGTACCGCTCAGAGTGTTTGCTGGTTCAGTTGGCCGCCGTTCGCGCCGTCTCGCTCACCTGTGAGCGACCCCCGCGCCGCAGGAGAGCCTGGCCGAGGTGCTCGGCTCGGAGACGGACGCCGGACATCTGCACGAGGCGCTGCACACCAACCTGGCCGCCTCGGCAGCCGCGGCCGCTGGAGACGCCTCGGCCAGGCGGCCGGCGGCGGCGGGCCGGACGGCGCGCGGCCGCGGCGGCCGGCCCCGCTTCTGGCGCGGCAAGAACAAGAAGAAGTCGTGAGCGGGGCCGCGGCGGCCGGTCCCGCTTCTGGCGCGGCAAGGACAAGAAGAAGTCGTGAGCGTGACCCGGCCGGCCGCGCTGGGCTGCTGCTCGGTGCTGCCGAGCACCAGGTCAGAGGACCGGTGAGCGGCCGGGCCGTCTGCAGCGCTAGTGACCGTCTGCAGCGCATGTGGCGAGGTCAGGGCGGCCTCCACTGGATCGCTGTGTTGTTTCGTTGCGGTGGCGTTTCTTGCTTGCACGAATAAATGAAGGAATGGCTATCACTGGAGTTGGAGAGTGACGATTCGGGACATTCTCGTATGAAGGCAAGATTCTGGACGTTCTCGTATGACGTGAAGTGATGTGTGCCCTCCTGGCGATCGTGCGGCAGTGGCGATGCTCGCAGCGTCGCATATTGGATCGACCGACTCAGGCAAAATGACCTATGATGATGACGTATGTGGACGACGTGCCACATGGCATCGTAGGCAAAAGACTGGTGCTGATGAGGCGCCGAACTCTCGTCTCTATGAGTAGATGTCCTATCATGGACAGTTCATAATGTGCAAACGTGTTTCTCCACTGGCGCCGTCCGGTTATTCCGGCAAGCCCTGCTGGCCTCAGTATTTCGCCACCCTTGACGGAGCGGTGAGAGTTAGTACGACCCCGATGTCGATCCCTCAGCGCACGCGCCACAGTAAAATAGTGAAAACTGGTCAAAAGTCCGGTGCTCTTATATAAACCCGTCGTTCTGGTCATTGTGCAGTGTGTCACGGTTGATGCGTCAGATCGGGTCAAATGAGGTCGTGACACGCTTTGGCCGTTCTTACGCAGCTTGGGAGATGTCCGCGGAGCAGATGTGGCATAGGTCGATGACCTCGCGCTTACGAGCTTTGTGCGAAGCAATGTTATCGGCACATTATGAAAGGTCCACTCATTATGGCCTGAGCGGCTTGCAGACTTGAACTGCTGTGACCTTGGCCTCGAATGGCTGTTCGACAACACCGACATAGCCATCACCATCGGCGCATCCCAACCGCCGTGGTTAATGATGAAATTAGGTGATGATAAAGTTGATGATGGCTAATCTGACGTGATTTTTAGGATGTGACCTAATGCGAGTTTGATTTTGAGTGGCACTAGTGAATGTTACTTTAACGGATTATATGCATGATATAGCCATTTCACACATTTGGGCCTGCGGGCTAAGATCAGATGCACACGGATCTGTAAGTGTGTCCCGTAAAGCCTACTTGCCACATTTTCGTCGTGCGAGGCTTTGATGATGAGGTCATACAGTGGTAGCGTGTCCTGATCGGAGGCCGCAACTTAGAAGTCCGGTAAACAAATGCTTGCAGATGGGATGTCAAAATTTGCGTCGGAACACACTAAAACCTTCAGGGGAATCCCCCCCCCAAAAAAAAACAAAGGGCAACAACCCGTTTTCAACAATCTCCACGATGAGTTGAATTGCTCAGTTAATGCACACATGTTCAGTGTCGCCATCGTGGTCCGTATCACGAAATCGGGGGTGTTCCGCGATGAACGCGTGAATTAGAAAACGCTTGAACTAAGCAAGGCGAAGTAATCAATACTGGTCAAACGAGATGGTCAGTGGTGATAAGTAATTTTAAGCAGTGCTACGTATTACACGGATAACTACGTGAGAGCTGCCTAAACAGGCGCCGTTGCTGGACCGCTGGTTGTGCCGACAGTTATCAGGGGCGGCGCAGCAGGGGGAGACGGGCAAGTTGGCCAAAAACATGGGCAAGTTGGGCAAAACACTTGCTTCCCCTGCCGCTCGGCAGGAGTAGCAGAGGCCCCTTTTTCCCCAAACCAAAGGCATCGCAAAGGCCTCCTTCACGCATCAGATGGTCGCGATTCTAGACCAGGATGTCCAGGATTTGCAGTATGCTATGAAATGGAGACAAAAGTTTTTTGGGGGCTGGGGGCACAAGCCAAGGGTTTTGGCGTCTGTCAATTTCTCTAGCGCGTGGGTGATGGTCAACAGTTATGATTGATAGGTGGATCCTCCCCACTCACTGTGGGTTTCACTTACGAAAACAAATTAAAATCGTTAGGCCCACATTGCATGTCGTTTATATATAAGTGGGTTGAGGAATGGCTAACGCAAGTGCAAAGGCTCAGTGTGAGTTAAGTAACATATTAATGTTCCGATGGTTTCTTACAAGGTATGCGTCTAGCCGCTCTTGTGCATAGTGCCCACGATAGAGCGTAATTGTCCACCAATACGGCATTCGGTGCGTCGGACGCGTGTCAAGAACAGATGACGTGAACAGGTGTGACATTTAACACATACTGGATGGTGCTCAGTTGGAGATCCGTGACGGCATGCTTGTCGTAAAGCAAGTCATACCCAAGGTCCAAAGGTCCGCTTAAATCAGTTCACGGCTTTAGGTAAGCATCAAGGCTGCAATCGGTGAATCATCGTTCTACCGATGATGAATTATCGTTCATTTGGCATGAGGACACTGGCAGTATGCAGGCGAGGCACCATTTTGTGCACGGTCATGAGCTTAGCTGCCTTTGAAAAATTCACCACATATGGTTTCCAAGCTTAAAACCGCCGTACACGATTCAAAACAAGGTCGCGTTAATGTGAATAGCGGGGGTCGCATATTGAAATCGTATCAGAGAACGGTCAAAAGCGGTAAGAAGCTTTGCGCGGCGTGGGTTGAGCAAGGCGATGACAGGCATGGGAGGAAGCGGTTGATATTGTGCAGATGATGCTAAAAACTAAGAAAGTGGGACTCAACACCTGTAATGACCGATACCACTAGACTGAGGGGCTCACTCTGACGCCTTGACATTAAGAAAATGAAGGACCTCACAGTGATGTCACTGCGGTCGAGCCGTCAAACGAAAAAATGTGAGGAAAAAACTCGCGCGGGCACTCGAGGTCCGTTATCACCGAACGATGCATGACTGTTGACTAAAATCTAATAGACTAAGTACTCATAAAGAAAATTGCACATGCGGGTGTTTGGTTTGAAATTTAGGTCCCGATATTTTATGCACGTTTCCTCGGGATAGTTATGTCCACATTAGCGTTGAATACGCGCCAGATTGTATGCGTGAGGGGTCTGAATTGTGGTGGGCTGTGCTGGTGAGAGTCTTGCCTGCGTTGGTGTCGGACGAAGTAATGTCGTTTGCTGTTAGCCCAGTATGTCATAATGTAGTGCGCGTGTCACCTTCAGCACCTCTAGCATTTCACTGTAAAGTATCTTTTTCATTGTTAGTCGCATGGAAGAGGTGAAATCGTAGCAATATTGCGCTGTTGTAGGTAAAACCGTCTGATTAAACTGTTCGCATGAAAATGACTAACCATTTATTAGCACATTGTGTCAAGACTTGCGCTTTTTGTTGCTGAAAACTGTGGAAACTTGCGATCACTATCTCAAAAGACATTTATTGGCTTTAAGGAAGCGAAAGGGAACGTGGGTTGGGTTGTACCATGTATCATGTATATCATACACCATGTGGGTTAGCATCAGGGTGATTTACTCCAAATCCATGTAACAGACGCCGGTCTTGAGTCAGTCGCTCGGCTGACGCACATCAGCGCGCTTTACCCTGCAGTGACTCCGGCTGCACATATGCACGCGTCATGGGGTGAGCGCGACAAACATGTCTCTGCATACCGTTGAAAACTCTAGCAATCGATGGAAAATGTGTTTAAAGTCCTACGGCATAGCGAGACCAATATGAATGTTTTACTGAATGGTGTGAAGTACACGTGCCTCATAGGCGTACGAACGTTTCAAAAAGTGTGGGGGGGGGGGGGGGGCGGGCGGGGTGAGAGACAAGCTCAGGGTGTACTTCAGGACCTTTTTCTGGAAAGCGAGCCTGATGACCGGGGAGGAGGGGGAGGGATGGAGGTTGTTATCGCTCCACCACTGTCACGTTACCAATGACGAAAAACCGGAGACGAGCGTGTTTTGTTCACATGCCGTAAACCATTCAGCTTCCTTGTGATGCAACCTTCTTCAACCAACAGCACAACTTTCTCTACCACATGGTACAACTAACTCAGGGCGGGGCAGGCTGTATCATTTGAACGGGTTTCATTGGGAGTTGCCTTATCAAAGAACGAGTCGCGCTCTCCACAATTTTATCACTCCACATGTACCTGAATTTTATAGCTCTGCAGATATATGCATCTCAGTCCTATCTCAAGTAGTTGAAGCAGCAGGGAGCTCATAGTAAAAACTGATGCAACCTCCCCCTTCTCTTCCCAAACTGTCGGGACGGGCAGGGCAGCTTATTTTCAAATCTTCATTGACCCTCCGTATGTAAAGTTGGAGTGAATGTGATAGTGGGATCAGTCAAAGTCAAGACGCGTACGTAAATGGCTGTGTTCGCGAAAAAGCTAACATCTATTATCTGTTGATCTTGAGTAAAAGTGTATGACGCGATCAGTGGAGTCCATCGGGTGGGCCTGTGGTAGAGGCGGGCGTCGGGACAGATGGCCGTCGGTCAAAAGTGGCTGCGATTATGATTTGAGCACTGTCACGTTATATGACAATGATCGCTTGATATCATCGTTTTATCAGTATCTCTTGGCAGACATGTGCCTGGATACCGAACAATATCTCAGGATTTCATCCCCGAGATCTCATCAACGTAGAACCCTGTGGGACCCTGGATCCGCCCCTGGGATCCATGCACAGTTCTATCCCCTAGTATATTTGAGGTCGGTTCTGTTTAACAAAAGGACTTATTTTGCCGAAAAGCCAGTAGTTTGTGAGCTTCAGTTGCTTATGTCAAGATCCAAGGCCGTCAGCAATTTCAGGCCAGGTCAGTTCAGCAACGGCGCGAGCTAGGGGAGGAGGCAGGGTCAGCGGATACCTGGGGAAAGGAGCGGTTAACCCCTCCCATTTCAACTACGAGCAGCATTTAGCGGTGCATGGAAAGAAACGAGCTAAAAAGCACATTGGTCCGAGCTCCACAAGGATTTTGCCGCCACTATCTTCAGGTGAGCTACCCCTTCCCCGATGTGGCCTCCTCCGACGTTACGTGAAACTAAATGAGGCAAAAATCACACCCACCCCACCCTCTCCTCACCGCACCCCACTCCCACCCCTGCCTCAAAGTATCCGCCGTCATTGGGTTAACTCAACGCAGCTGCCACGGTCCACGGTGAGACGTCGGGAATGACACGGTTCGTTCAGGGATATTTTTAGGCTTTGAATACCATTTTGTCAACTCAAAGGCATGCTTTATGCTTTCGAACCGCACGAGCGTCTTAAACAGCCGAAACATACCCATCAGGACCTTCAGTCCCTTGGGTTCCCGTGGCCCGACACTTCTAGGGGAGGGGGGCATTAGTCCAAAAGCTGCCCATCTCCTTGGCTACGGTACTGGATTGAACACCGCTTCGATGGTCAAATGAATGAATGCAACTTAGTCTCCTTCATAATGTGACGTAAATATAGCGTGACAGATAACATAAAGATAACGTGATCGCAAGTTGACATATAGTTTGCGGACCTTTGAAATGGTAGATTTTGATTCCCCGCACTTTTCTCAATTCAGTAGTGCGTAAACTGGAGCCGTTTTTTACATGGCCTAGGTCAGTGGCGGATCCGGGATTTCGTCAAGGAAGGGGGGAGACGGGCCACGCTATACTGTTGGACCCACTTAAGTGTTGGGATCCGCTCCAAAGAATCGTCGGATTTCAGACATTAGATTGAAAGCCTCCCGTGTTTGCTATTTTTATAC